CCCACCTACCTGTACAATGCGTGGCTGCAGCACCCCAATAGGTGATCTACCACTTTGGAAAAGCAGCAGGCGCAGTTCTCAACTATTCTATGGTCCAAATCCGGGCACTCCACGCCGGCGACTCGGGAGTGCTTCGTCACCCGAGGGCGAATGCGCTGAAGAACGTCCAGCCACAGCTGAGGTGGAAGCTTGGTAGGACAGGGATCCGTGCCAGCTAGCATGCTGCGTCGAGTGAGCAGCGCGGCGCACCTGCCGCCATGAAAAAAATGCACCAGCATCAGAGCAACAAAAGCAAATGAGATCCGACAAAAGCCCCCCCCCCCCCCCAACATGCGGAAATGACAACTAGTAGGCAAACATCACGAAACAAGCTATTGAGAACCCGTGAAGAGCTACCCGCGCAGAGCAGCGAAAGTTACAACCACTGCCTTCCTACCATCAAAAACGCATGTCGCCTGGTGGCCCCGCCGCTCCGAGGCATACAGGGCACACGACACCAGCGTCGCAAGGCCGCTGCCGTAGTGTATGGCTCAGATAGCTCACCTCGGCAGAAAGGGAACATGCGGCGTTGACCCCGCGCTGTGCCAAGATTGGAAAGGCGTAGGAGTGGAACAAAAAATAGGACACCGGACCTTCTGCAAACTCTCAAGCCGCAGATGTTACGCTCTCCCAGCCCCAGAAATGCAAGCACCAGCGCTCCCAAGATTAGCAACCGCCCCCCATCGCAAGGCGCAGCCCGAACAATAGCACGCGCTGAGCCGAGTAGCAGAATCGATCCGCCAGCACTTTCATCGAGAGGCCTCCGTCTGGAAAAGCAAGCGAGCCAGGGTGAATCCTCGTATAGGTAACTTGGCTACGAGAACAAAAGTTTTGCCACGTCGCGATCGCCCGAGCATATCCCATGAGCTTAAATGGGCGAAAGCCAAAGTGCGTCGCGGCACTCCAAGGCAGACTTCGTGCTGCATCCTCAAGCAGCTCTTCGCCCAGCGAAGTCAGGGCCGCCAACACCACAGGATCTGCCGAGCAACCCATGCCTTCAGCCACTTCGTCATCCTCACACTGCGGCTGCACAGCCTGGATATCATCCCCTGCTGCTTCCTCACCCTCTTCCTCACACCCAGAGAGGAGACGTGGCTTGCCGTGCGTGCGACCCCATACCATGGCACAGTCGTGTTGCCAAATCAGGCGGTCTGTCCAGTGATCATGATTTCCCGCATGAAGCCGAGCCCGCAGCAGATCGCCTACACCCGTCCGAGCACCCACGAAACAGGATCAGGCCTGGGAACCCTCAAGGGAAAACAACATATGACACATATAACGACAACCGATACGTGCGCAAGTGGTATCTGCCAAGCCACAGAAGGGACTGGGGAGATGGCGGTTTGGCCGCTAGGGAAACAGATGGAAAGCAGCCCTACTTATCTCTAACTTCCCGACGTTTTCCTGTTATGCCGAACCATTACGTAAACAACGATGCCGAGTCGCACATTCCCAACCCGCCAGTGATGATGCTGAAAGCAGCGGCACGAACCAGCAAAACAGCCGAGACGGGGAATTGGCCTGCCCTCTGCCGCAGAAGGCCCAGGGTCGCAGACGCGACGAAACGCATTCTATAAGAGCCCCGGTCATGACGAGGATCCACGCAGCAAGTGCGCACGGACAGCACCGCTTCTGCCATGCGCAGCGTCGAGAAGGTGCGCGCGTACACCATGTTGACTCTTCCTGTGACACAGCGAAGACATGCAAGCTTCTGCTCACCTGTGTTTGTTTCTGCAGAAAAGCAAAACACATGAAGCGTCCGACCGCGGGCATTGAATATGTTGGCTTCAAAACCAATATACATTAATAGGGACGAGGAAGAGATAAGAGAGAGAAAGAGAGAGAAAGAAAGATATCAGAGAGAGAGAGAGAGAGAGAGAGAGAGAGAGACTCCAAAACCTCTCCAACTGAGGCATTTGAAATCACACTTGAGAACTCCCGTGGCCTCGGATTTCTGGAAAGACTTCTCTTGCTCTGTCGCCGAAGCTTTTCGGCGCCTCGTACTACTTCGATTTTGAGGCCTGGACTAGAGTCGAAAAAGCAGCCTTTCACGACTAAGCCCTGTCTTAAATCAAGATAGAAGCCGCGAACCCGAACGCGGAGGGTTCACTTTGCGATATCAAAATACGCACCGCGCCACAGCGAGAGCGATCGGATCCATCCACAGTGCGGTGAGGGCTCACTTTGCGATCTGAGATAATGCACCGCGCCACAGCGGGAGCGGTTCGACCCGCCGAAAGTGCGCAGAGGGTTCACTCTGCGCTCTTGGAATGTGCGCCGCGCCACATCGAGAGCGGCTCGACCGACCGAAAGTGTGCCGAAGGTTCGCTTTCTGATTCGACAATGTGCACCGCGCCACAGCGATAGCAATTTGACCCGCCCAAAGTGCGCAGAGGGCTCACTTTGTGATCTTAGAACGTGTACCGCGCCACAGCCAGAGCGTGTCAACCCGCACCAAGTGCGCAGAGACTTCACCTTGCGATCCCAGAACGCGCGCCGCGCCACGGCGAGAGCAGTTCGACCCACCCAGAGTGCGCTGGGAGTTGACTGTGCGATCTTAGAACGTGCGCCGTGCTACAGCGTCAGCGATTCGACCCGCTGAAAGTGAAAGGGCTCACTATGCGCTCTGAGAATGCGCACCGCGCCGCAGCGAGAGCGATTCGACCCACCCAAAGTGCGCAGAGGGCTCACACGGCGAGCTCAGAGTGTTCACCGCGCAACATCATCGTGCAGCCTTTCCCCAGTGGCATGAAAGTGAAGCCGTGTCAGAAGCCACCTTTCACGTGAAGCCCCACGAAGCACCGCGCATGCGCAAGGAAAAGAGAGCGAACATGCCAATTTGTACGATTCCCGCACAGGGCCAACGAAAACGACACATCGCAAGGCACCCAAATGACGCGCTCAAGCCTTCCCCCAACGGCGCGGAACTATCGAACGGACCGCGACCCCACCGCGACCCGACCGCGACCTGCCCGTGACCAGACCGCGACCCGACCGCGAGCGGACCGCGACGAGCCCGCGAGGAGCCGACCAACACGACACGAACAAGGGTCCTACCCCCAGACCCCAACACTATAAACGGGAGCCCCAACGCTATATTCGGGAATCAGTAGGAGCGGTGTCATTGGGCCAGGTGTCCGGCAAAGTCACGGACCGCCTGCTCGGGCTGCTCAGCTGTCCTCACGATTTCCCGAAGCACCACGTAGTCTGCAAGCATGCGATGCATGTCTTCCACCTCAGATGCACCCAGCGCCGTGCGTGTCTACCCAACAACGCCCAGCAAGCTGCCGCACCACACACACACACACCAGGACCCGCCCTTCTTGTCTAAAAACCCCTCTGACAAAGAACATCTGCCACATGAGTCCAGCCACATCTGCCTGCGAGGAGACGAAAAAACATTTCCGAGCCGGGATGCACCCCTGGCGCACTCGCTGCAAAAGCGCATCTTGGAACTCCAGAAATGCATGTAGGCGCTGCATCTGCAGGACAGTCTTAGCTGCCAAGAACTGCTGGAAAGGAGTCTTGAATTTTGCGCCTTGCTCGTGGCCACGCTTGAGGCAGCCCTGACGCCCTGCCATGGCACCACGTTTCCGGAAACAACATGCTGCTGCCTGCGTGCGTACGTGGGCCTATGTCTCTGTGACTGGGTGTGTGCCTGGGTGTGTGTGTGCATGTTTCTGCGTCTATACATTCCCTGTCCCTGTCCAGCTGACCCAGAACGTCTAAAAGCAGCAGCTGGGAAAAGCACAGAGACACAAATATACACACAAACAAACGCAAGAGGCACAAACACAACCTGACACATGCACACCTGCTGGAGAACACCTTCCAAGAGAGTAACCTGTTCACTGCACGCAGAACCTTTACGACCCGTGAATACAAAACGCGGACACTTCATGGGCAAAAGTGGCCGCGCCGAAGCCATTTCAGAAATCCCAGATACGGTTGGTTCCTTTAAGCCTTCAAATACCACCCTCCAACAATCATAGAAGCCGACAGTCGGGTTTGGAAGACTACTTCCTCTTGAAGCCGTTTTCCCACGTGATAAGAGGGTAAACCGGGTAAACAAATAACCAACGCGTACGGTAAGTTTTGCTGGGTGCCTTTAAGCCAACGAACCCATTTGCCGGAGGCAAGCCATTGGGACAAACCGAGAATTCTGCGGCCCGGGCTGAGCGACAGCTCAGAACCGTCTTCCTTCTCCAGGAGGATATCCACTGTCTGCGAGAATCCGGAGTCAAATGTTGGCCCCCTTGAACCCCAGGTTTTTGAAGTGTGAACCTGTATTTTGGTTCCAGCCACCAACAACACAATGGCAGTTTGAATATTTCAACATGTTGTCTTGAACAAGTCAGTTAAACAAATGACAAGCGGCCAATATGAAGCAGAAACCGGCCCCCAAAGGTGCTCATGATGTGACCTAACCTCTGCCCCCCCCCAACAAAACACAAACACACACACACACACAAACACACACAAAAGACAGAAAACAACAAGAAACGAAGCCAGGGATGGCCGGCAGGGGCTCCGCCAAACCACAACATGGTCGACCCGACATGACCACGTCTCTGGGCCACTGGGACCTCTCCTAGGTTGTCTATGGAAGGATCCCAATCCTTGGTAGACATAGTGGGACACAAGGGAAACCACCATCTCACATACGAGTACAGTCTGGTTCTCAGTAAATCAAGAAGGGATTGGGGAATGAACCTATCCCTCAGCAGTTGGTCCAACTCTCTCTCCAAACGGAACCCTGAAACTGCTTGGTTTCTCCGTTTCTCCTCGTTGGTTTCGGCAGCGACCCCTGTGGCCCCAACTTGCGGCCCCGCTACCGCCAGTCACCAACACACAAGCAAAATAGAGCTCAGAAAAGGGTCCTCCGCGCGGGATGCTGGCCGAGAGCTCCCCGAAAGCAGTTGATGCGCAGGCCGATCTGGAGCAGAGCGCAAAGTGGCCACCAAGTCCCCGCCAGCCTGGGTGTTCCGCTCGTGCATCAGCGCGCACAGAGCCAGTTCCACCTCCGGCGCAGCCGTTGCCAGATCCGTGTTGGCTAGGTTGCCAGTGCACCGCTTCAAAGCGGCCCACTGCGACTCCTTGGATTGGCCCACGCTTGCAGGCGTAAACCCTGGCCGGGCGACAGCTATGCAGCACTGCCACTCAGCAGACCACAGCTGGCCCTGCTTGGAAAAGGCCACGTCAGTCAAGTAAGACATCCAGTCATACTCTTCCTTCACCCGCAGGCGGTCCAGGAGGGTGTGCGCGGCAAGGTCGAAAACCAACGGCGGGTAGAAGGCCGACTTCTGCGCCCAAGCACTCAATCCTCGCGACAAAGGCCCTTTCCTGCGCCGGCAAGCTGCAACCTGATGCCGAAGATCCCTGCGGTAGGGGACACCCTGGAGCTGCGCGCGATGGGCGGCTCTTTGTGCGGGCGAGTTGTCGTAGAAGGCAGCCTGCACGTGCCTTCGGAGGTCCAGCCCGCGCTCCTCGTAGATGCCCAGGATCGCTTCCTGGATGTCCAGCTGTGCTCTCCTTCGGGGTCCAGGCATGGCCCAATGAAAGCTCCGACGTCCTCCAAAGCCCACCGGTGAGATGGAGCACGGGGCAGGCTATAGTGCTCAGGCACCAACCGGAGCAGTTCATCTTGTAGGTTGCGTCCTCAGACCAGATCAGGCTGCCCCCCTCATCAACCCACTTTCTGATTGCCCTGACCTCTTCCTCCAAAATGCACACGGTCGCGGCAACGCCCTCGGTCTGCAGAGCTTGAAAATGCACCCCAGAATTGGAGGAGTTCCGAGCCTCCACAACCAGCCCAAGCACGGTGGGCGAACAATGCGCTTTGGCATCCCCTCGTCTTTTGGCGCGGACGGCTTTGAGACGCCGCCTGGCGGCTTCTACCGTCCGCAATCCAGGCAAATCTCTGCGATCCGTGCCATCTGCGAGCAGGGCTGCCAAGCCTTGCGAAGGCGTCAGATGGGCGATGCGCTGCGCAGTCAGCCTCTGACGCACGGTCTGCCCGCGCACAACACGAGCAGTAGCTCCAGCACATGTGCCCCGCTCATAGACGGAAGCTTCCCACTCTGGGTCATCTGCCAAGCTGATCTTCTGTGTCAAAGTGATGTAAAAGGTATGGTGCCGAGCCTGCCTCCCTCTTGCATCTTTGGCCCCCTGCAAGTCAGCGTGCTCAGTGCATCTGGCCCATGCCTTGCAAGTGTCGCCGACCACGGCCCTATCCACGGCTCCGATGATGCCTCTGCTGCTCAGCAAATGCCGCACGAAGTCTCTCCACAGGTGGAGGTGCCTGCGGCACTCACTGCCTTTCTCAGGCGGCAGTGTGTCGCGGGCCAGCTCTTTCCATGGCTCCGGCCGGGCCATAGCCTGCCCTGTGGCACACGTACACACACAAGAAGACATGGCTGCGTATAACAAGAAAAAGAAACGTCACATGCTCAGCTCACATGCAAGGCACAGGTAAACAGCAAGCTGGTCTGCCACGGGTACTACAACCTCAACTTGGTAAGGGTTTCCTAGGGTTTAGGATCGAGGGCTCTGGAAGTCTGGTTTAGGGATAAGGGTTCCGGGTGTCAGCTGCCCTCTCTGTTGAGACCGAAAACACACGAAACATATGTAACTGCAGTCGTTCAGGCGGTACAAGACCCAGAAAAAAAAACGCAACAGCAACGTCTCACAGGAGTGCGGGGCATAAGACACATGCAGCCTACAGCGGCTCTGAGGGTGGGGTTCCTACACGTGGAGGGAGGCATTATCTCTTGCAGGAGGACACCTCACCACAAGAGATAATGAGCCTGGGGGGGGTGGGCGGGTAAGCCGACAGAGGAAAGTCACACAGGCTATTGAATTGGTCGCTTTGGTCAGTGGAACCGATAACAAACCGTGATTCTTAGTGGAACCCCTTTCGGTGGAATTCATCAACCCTTGCTTTTGGCCATCCCTACTAAGCATCAAGGGATTGGTGCCTCCACTGGAGGCAAACCTATTTAGCGAGGGGGTGCACATCCATTGTCGAAAGAGCAGTCATGCGCGCCAGGCAGGTACATCTGCTGCAAATGCTGACCCAGGATGAGTCAACCCTTCAGTCTTGGAGGAACCACCGTTTATGAATCCGCAAGAATTGATGAATCTGGATGAGATGATCCATAGGAGTCCTTGGAAGGAAACCAACGCCCAGCCCCCACATGTTCTTAGAAACTTCAGAGAGGGGTAGGCGGTCGTAGGTTCTTATCAAAGCCTCGTCGAGCAACGTCCTGAAGCCCCGCGCCAAGAACGAAGACGCATCCAAGGCGGCCATTGCACCACGGGCCCGCAGTGCGCTTGAAATCTAGCTATATGTGCATGAGTGTGCTTTGCCCTGTGGCACAAATCATCTCCCTTCGAATATCTCGAATCACCGCAGTGGGTTTGCTCGAGTTTGGTCGGGCTTGGTCGAGTTTGGTCGAATTTGGTCGAGTTCGGTCCAGTTTGGTCGAGTTTGGTCGAGTTTGGTCGAGTTCGGTTGGATTTTGCTCGCATCCGGGCGGTCCAGATGCACCCTGTAGTCTGCAGCTGCCCGTGCTTGCTGGTAGCGTGTGCTCGCCGAGCCACTGGAGTACGTTTGAACTACTCCCCTGCTACTTCCGTCATGAACCAGGTAGACAGTGAGCGCAGACAAAGGGAGACATGCCTGTAATGTTCTGATCTGAGGATCTTGGTTTGAAAATCCAGGGCCTTCTGAGTCCACCCTCTAAATCTTGCATTTGTTTGTTTTCATTGGTCCGGCACCCACTCAAAATCGCCAAGCCTCCCCCCGCCCCGGGGAGAAAAACAAACAAACAACTTCCGGGGTTCTCAAAATTATGTTTGCCTTAAGAGGAGCCCTCTTTCTGGATTCCACATTGCTTGAAAAGGGACATCACGTCACTCCTGACATGTACTGTAGCCTTACAAGTAAAGGGGACCTGCAGGTAAGGCGATGGCCCAAATGTGTCCTTGGGGCCCTGAAAAGGGATCTAGACTGATCCTAGCCTGCCATCCAAGTCCAAGTCCCAGACCTCCAGTGGCCAAGGGCACTCTTGTTCTTGGTAGCTAAGTTCAAAGGGAGATCCCTCCAACACAAAGGAAAAAAAAACAAATGGCCAAGGGCACCACTGGAGGGTTGGTGTAGGGTTGGTTTAGGGCTGGTTCAGGGTTGGTCTAGGGTTGGTTTGGGCTTGGTTTGTGCGTGGGTTAGGGTTGGTTTAGGGTTGGTTTACGACATGGGTTCAGGGCTGGCTTAGGGTTGGTTTAGGGTTGGTTTAGGGTTGGGTTTAGGGTTTTCGACCAAATTCGACCAAACTTGAACACATTCGACCAAAACCGAGCAAAATCCGACCAAACTCGACCCAACTCTACCAAAATCGACCAAATTCAACCAAACTCGACCACACCCGACCAAACTTGACCAAACCCGGCCAAATTTGACCAAATTCAGCCTAGAGAATAGCACTGGGAAATTTCAAGAATTTTCCGGTTGAATTCGACCAAAATCAACCAAAATCGACAAAACCCGACCAAACTCGAACAAATTCGACCAAAATCGAGCAAAATCCAACTAAACTCGACCAAACCAAACTGGACCAAACTCGACCAAATTCGACCAAACTGGACCAAACCCGACCAAATCTGACCAAATTCAGCCTAGAGAATTCAACCGGAAAATTTCAAGAATTTTCCGATCGAATTCAGTCTGGCGATGAACTGCCCAATCCGACCAAATTGGACCACTGCGCTCGACCAAAGTCGACCAAACTCAACTCGAAGTCAGTTAAAATTGACAGCGCTCGACCCCGTGCGACCAAATTCGACCAAAATCAACCAAAATCGACAAAACCCGACCAAACTTGACCAAACCGGCCAATATGATTGGACCACGCACAAACCAATCCGAAACCCAACCCTAGACCAACCCTGAACCAGCCCTAAACCGACCCTAAACCAGCCCTAAACCAACCCTAGATCAACCCTACACCGACCCCAACCCAACCCTCGACCAACCCTAAGCCAGTCCTAAACCAACCCTAAACCAAACCTAAACCAACCCCAAACCAACCCTACACCAAGCCTAAACCAAGCCCAAACCAACCCCAAAGACAGCCTAAACCAAACCTAAACCAACCCCAAACCAGCCCTCCACCAAGCCTAAACCAAGCCCAAACCGACCCCAAACACAGCCTAAACCAACCCTGAACCAAAGCCGAAACCAATCCTAAACCCAACCCTAGACCAACCCTGAACCAGCCCTAAACCAACCCTAAACCAGCCCTAAACCAACCCTGCACCAATCCTCCACCGACCCCAACCCAACCCTCAACCAAACCTAAACCAGCCCTAAACCAACCCTACACCAAGCCTAAACCAAGCCCAAGCCAACCCCAAACACAGCCTAAACCAACCCTGAACCAACCCTAAACCAGCCCTGAACCCACCCTAAACCAATCCTAAACCTACCCTAAACCTACCCTAAACCAACCCTAAACCACGCCGAAACCAATCCAAAACCCAACCCTAGACCAACCCTAAACCAGCCCTGAACCAACCCTAAACCAAACCTAAACCAACCCCAAACCAGCCCTACACCAAGCCCAAACCAAGCCCAAACCGACCCCAAACCAGCCCTGAACCAACCCTAAACCAAACCTAAACCGACCCCAAACCAGCCCTACACCGACCCCAACCCAACCCTCAACCAACACCTAAACCAACCCCAAACCAGCCCTACACCAAGCCTAAACCAAGCCCAAACCGACCCCAAACACAGCCTAGACCAACCCTGAACCAAAGCCGAAACCAATCCGAAACCCAACCCTAGACCAACCCTGAACCAGCCCTAAACCAACCCTAAACCAGCCCTAAACCAACCCTACACAAATCCTACACCGACCCCAACCCAACCCTCAACCAAACCTAAACCAGCCCTAAACCAACCCTAAACCAAACCTAAACCAACCCCAAACCAGCCCTAAACCAACCCTGAACCAGCCCTAAACCAACCCTAAACCAATCCTAAACCAACCCTAAACCAACCCTAAGCCAACCCTGAACCAACCCTAAACCAGCCCGAAACCCACCCTAAACCAATCCTAAACCAACCCTAAACCAACCCTGAACCAAGCCTAAACCAGCCCTAAACCCAACCCTATACCGACCCTGAAGCAACCCTAAACCCACCCTAAACCAATCCTAAACCACGCACAAACCAACCCCAAACCAACCCTGAACCAACCCCAAACCAATCCTAAACCGACCCTAAACCAGCCCTAAACCCACCCTAAACCAATCCTAAACCAACCCTAAACCAAACCTGAACCAACCCTAAACCAATCCTAAACCGACCCTAAACCAGCCCTAAACCAACCAACTCAACCCTAAACCAGCCCTAAACCCACCCTAAACCAATCCTAAACCAACCCTAAACCAACCCTAAACCAGCCCTAAACCAACCGACCCTAAACCAGCCCTAAACCCACCCTAAACCAACCAATCCTAAACCAACCCCAAACCAACCCTAAACCAACCCTAAACCAACCCTGTATCAACCCTAAACCAGCCCTAAACCAGCCCTAAACCAGCCCTAAACCCAATCCTAAACCAACCCTAAACCAACCCTAAACCAACCCTGAACCAACCCTAAACCAGCCCTAAACCCACCCTAAACCAATCCTAAACCAACCCTAAACCAAACCTAAACCAACTCTGAACCTAAACCAACCCTAAACCAAACCTGAACCACGCACAAACCGTCCCTAAACCAGCCCCAAACCCAACCAACCCTAAACCAACCCCAAAGCAACCCTGAACCAGCCCTAAACCAATCCTAAACCAACCCTAAACCAGCCCTAAACCCACCCTAAACCAACCCTAAACCCACCCTAAACCAACCCTAAGCCAACCCTAAACCAACCCTGAACCAACCCTAAACCAGCCCGAAACCTACCCTAAACCAATCCTAAACCAACCCTAAACCAACCCTGAACCAACCCTGAACCAAGCCTAAACCAGCCCTAAACCCAACCCTATACCGACCCTGAAGCAACCCTAAACCCACCCTAAACCAATCCTAAACCAACCCTAAACCGCGCACAAACCAACCCTGAACCAACCCCATACCAATCCTAAACCGACCCTAAACCAGCCCTAAACCAACCCTACACCAATCCTACACCGACCCCAACCCAGCCCTGAACTAACCGCAAACCAATCCTAAACTCACCGCAGCCCGTTTCTGATTGCCGGGCTCACCTGTACGTGATTGCCGGGTTTGGCTGTACGTGATTGCGGCGCAGCCTCCAATAGCTGATTGCAGGGTCCAGTCTTTGATTACCGTTTTACTCTCGACATAAGGTGTTGCCGTTGCTTCTGGTCTTCAAAAGAGGTGATGGTTTGATTTGGTTTTTGTGTGTGTGTGTTTATTTATTTGCGTGTGTGCTGTTCTGTTCTTTTTTTTTCTGGGTATATAGCTTGTTTGCCCGTGGGGTCGGTCAAGAGGGACACGATGACCCCATGGGACACGGTACCCCAATTTTGACCCACGGAACTGGATTGAATGGAGATTGAGCCAAAGTCTGACCCCTGTTGGCAAACTGACAAGCTGGAAGTAGATGGCAGAATTGTGTCCATGGGATACCAAGCGCCGGCCGTTTTTAAAGGGGTTTGACCTTGGGATCAACCGTGACGCAAGCCAAGGAGAAGAGCCAGACACGAAATTGAGGTCCATGCACTTGCGTGATTCAATTGACAGAGAGTCAACCAAGCACATGTCATGAATGACTTGGCTGAAGTTTTTGGGGGTAAACCGAACAAGTTTCAGTGGTAGGTTTGGTGGCTGGATAGCAAGGCAATGAGAAAGGAAATGACCCCGGAAACAGAAAAACATGCATTTAGAAACAAAATCGATAAACCGTCGCCTACGGCTTCCTTTAAGGGACTCCCAAATGGTTCATTCCCAACACCCGGAAAGTCATTCCCTGAGCACCAAGGTAAAACGTTTGGTGCAAAAGTTGTGGCATCCTCAAACAACGGTTTTGGGTTCCACGTTAGCTTGTAGGGGAGTACCTGCGAGCAAGAGTCTTTGGACGCAGGGCAATGCCCACCAAGTTGACCTGTTGGTTTGACCCATTCTCTTGTTGGCGAAGTGTGTTTCTTTGTCCAAGTTTGCTTTTGGCACATGTTGTTTTCGTTGGTGAGAAGTGTTCTGTTGTTTTCCCCTGTCCATTTCCCTTTGTTTTGGTCCCCTTTCGGAGGTCCATCTGTTGTGTTCCCTTATGTTCTGGGTGGATCTGCATCCTGCGACTTTTTGGGGATGATTGTTGACCCACACCACCAAGTAGGTCCATGTCTGACTATGTTTTGGCTCTTAAGTTGTTGCATGGTGTTCTCCGCTGTATATAGTTTTGAATTTGTAGTCATTGCAGTGCTGTGGTGTTCTTAGTCGTCGTCATGTAATTTGCACATTCCCTCTCTTAGTATTATCGATGGCATTATAAGCTTCTTCGTTGTTGTCCTACTCCACTTCTTCTCTTCCTCCTTGTTATTATGTTTACCATCCTTGAGCTTGCGCAAGTCGATCATCCGCAGTTCCAGGGATGGTTATTATGCGACCAACCAACGCATCTTCAAAGATGCTTGCCATTCGGTTTCCATGTTTACCATGCGCGGCTTCATTATCCCAGTGGATCCAAGTTTTCTAAGAAGGTACTTGGACCTCTTTTTACCCACCGGAAGCCATCCTCAACAGGGACCTGGATGTTCTGGACATTGAAGAGAGCCCCAAGGTAACCATAAATCATTCGCAAGGTAAAAACGACACAATGCCTCAACAAAGTTACTACCGTGGACGAAATCCAATCCTGCACCTCCTAAGAAGCCATGGAAAGCCATAGTGTGCTGCTATTTACAGGGGGGAATGTAGTCATTCCCGGGGTTTCTTAGGTGCGAAATGGATTGTGTTCATCCACAGTAACTCTAAGAAGGTACTATTATTGACAAATTGTTGCTTTTTGTCATAGCAACCCCCACGGCCAACATAATGCTTCCCAAAGTCAAACAGCAAAATGTTTTCTTCTACCAAAATTACAGAAGCAAAAACCAAGATTACTGGCAATACCTCCAAGTTGTTCCTTCTATTACAAAAGCACTGCTTTTTTGTTATTTTTGACCTCCCAAAAAAGCCAGAAACGGTGCTTTTAAGTCATTTTTGACCCCCCGAGGTTCGTGACCACGCTGACGGTCTTGCTCTTCGTGGTCACCAGCCTGGACGCAGCCTTCACCTGGTGTGACCGCGCCGGGGCCCGAGCAGCGGTGGCGCAGACTTGCGAGTGCGACAAGTAGTTGGAATGAGTTGGAATAAACCCAGAGATTCCCGCAAGGAAACCACAAGCGAGGTTTTATAGGGGTTCCCACAAAAATCCTGAGCACCAGCAAGAAGAACTACCCAGAAAGAGAAATCACCAACCAGGTAGATTTTCTTTCGGAGAAACGTGGAGGAGATACTGTAGCAGCCTAGACCGCCAAAGTGTGCCAATTGTTGTCCTCTTTTTCTTGAAGGGTTCTAAAGTCTGCCAAACAAAGAGCGGCCTTTTTCTCCATAGCCACTGGGGGTCTCGGGGGCGGGGCCCACTTAGTTCCTTGGATACAACCTACTCACCTGACGTTCTTGACGTTGGTTGAACATCCAAGTAGGCGCCCCTTTCAAATGCTCGAGCCATGGTTCTACCCTTGGGTCAGGGAATTCGGACACAGTGTCGCTTGCTTTTGTTGATTCTGCAAACGCTGAAGTTTTGTTGGCTGTTCTGGCCCGGGGGGGGTTAATGAGCGATGTCACTGTTGAGCATATGGGCGACCACTGGAATTTCCGCCCAGGGCTTGGCAGATCAATTTCTAGTTCCCCCAGTAGTGCCCTTTCTCACCCTTGTTAGTAGGGAGGGTTCCCCTACTAAAATGGACGACCGAAAAAAATCGAGTACCCTTATTCTACCCTCTCTACTGGAGCTAGTTATTGTTGTTGTTATTTCTTGTTATATCAGTTTTTTCGATGCTTTAAACAAACCGGAGTCTGGGCCAAGGCAGGGGGGGGGCAGGGGGGGAGTCTTCCGCTTTGCACTCGGAGGTGGTGGCCATCTCCCACATGGCGACGGCGGGAGCCTAAGCAGGGAAGAGGTGGCCAGGGAAGGAATTCTATGGACGCCTTCCCCCCCCCCCCCCGTTTTTCACCCCGAAGAGGAAGCAGGGAAGGAGGAACCCCCCCCTCTTCCGGAAAAAATCTGGTTTGGCTGGGGCAACAATGCTCCTTCCCTGCTGCCTTTCGCCTGCTTATTGGCTTTTGCCGTGTGTTGGACCCTCCCCGAAAGCGCTGGGGAGTGGTTGTCTTGGGGCTTGGTTGTGGAAACTGCCGGGGTGCAGGGAATCCCAGTTTTTGTGATTCCCCCCCCACCCATGGGAATCAACTGCTTTGACATCGCAAAATTTATTCTCCACAGCCATGCAATTTTCATTTTGAAGGTTGATGTTTGTTGGGGAAAAAACATGGTTGCCCAGCGGCGCCCGTGTTTTTCTGACTTTTTTGGGGGAAGGGTTCCGATTCCTTTTAACTCAACCAACAAACAAAATGCCGATTGTTTTTCCCATCTGAGACAACAAAACATCCGAGGTTGAACAAAAAACATGGGGAGACCATTTTAGGTAGGCTGGAATCTTGGAACTGTTTTGGTCAATGGGAAGTCAGCCACAAGGCTAACAGCCAGCCACATTGGAGGTTCGGCGAAGATAGAAAGTTAGCCAATTGGGTGGCTCACCCCTCAATAATAAGGTTAACTCAACTTCGGGGAACTTCTAAAAGTGGGTTGTATCCCAGGTTGCCAGCAAGTTACTAACTTGGCGAATGGAACACCCAAGTACTTTGAAGGCAATGTTGGGCCAAAAGACAGACCAAGCCCCAACCCATCTTTGGCACCAAGCACCCCCGATCAAAAACACACGCTGTTTGCACAAAAACAAAAACACACCCATACGTGTTCATTGCCAATACATATCAATACGGATTCCTTTCATAGGTCCAAGACTTGCCGTTTCAGATCTTAGCTAGTTTCAGTTTGGTGCTCATTTGCCATTGCCATCTATTGCTTCAAAAGGGCGCCTAGACATGGAAGCACCCTCACAATGGCGTGGTTTCCGCTAGGTTTCGAACAAGGGTACCCTCAACCTGGCGGTTCATTAGGCTTGTAGGTTTTTAGCTGGTTGATTGGAGCTTCCTTTTAGAAGGGGATCAGCTCGGACCGCAAGACAATCCATGCAAGTTTCTCGCAAGCTTTGTACCCTATGGCTTGTGTCCCGTGGGTCTCCCACTTTGGTGCCCCGAAATGACGGGTGTCATGTTGGTCCTTTCACTCGCCAGCCCAGGAAAATTATCCAGAAGCCATTTATGTTTTCCTTCCGGGTTTCAATACCAAAGGGAACCGACATCCTAGAACCACTCTGTTGGACTAGCAGATTGCTGGTACCATTTAGGGGTTACCCACTTGTATGTCCGCTTTGAACCAACGCACTTCCCGAGTTCCTGGACTTCAGTCACTTAAGAATGGGTTTGACCATTTTAGTGGCTGCATACAAAAAAAACGTTTAAAAAAAGAAACAAACACGTTGATTTCGGCCAGTCTCGATCGGAAGTGAGTCAACCATCTCGGGGGCACCGACTTCGATGTCCCCTACTGTAGGGCCCCTACTTTGGATGGACGAAAGGACACCCTGGAACGATGATTTCAGTGTAGATACCAACAAGTTTCAACCATGGTTTCTGAGGTGCGAATTCTGGATTTCGCAACCAGGGTATGAGACCCTGGAAAGCCTGGACCACCTAAGAAAGCCTATGATGATTCCCCCCTATACCAAGAAACAATGGTATCAACAATAGTTTCTTAGGTGCGGTCTCTGGATGTCCATGTGCCCATGAAATGTCCATCTCTAAAACACGATGCTTGCCCCACTTAGGGGGACTTTTAAGCTAGCTTGCCAACAACTTTCTATCTTGGCGAATCGAACGCACAAGTATGGCTGCTTCATACGCTGCACAGTATGGGGGCCCCTGGTATTTCCCACCTGCATACCTGGACAACTTTGCCCTTGACTAAGCTGACAAAAGAACAGATCTGCCCGCGCCCACTAGAGGCTCCCTTTGAAAGGAAAGTCTTCCAGGACCCGAAACGTCAGGTTCTGTCGAAGGGAAATCCAGAGCTAGAGTGTTGCCTCGAAAAGTGGTCTGAATCTCTGCTAAAAGGAGTTGGACACCTGAACAGCTTAATTCCGGATCCAGGTACGTGTCAAATTAGGTATATAATGGGATGGACTCCTTTTGGTGTCCCCAAAGGTAAACATCTCCCAGTTGTTGGGACACTTTTGGGGACACGTTGTTGGGTTCTTGGACACTCTCTCCCGCTTTTTTGGTAAGCTCCCGGTAAACTTCGCGCGATTTTTTGCACTTATTTTTTTTCGGGTTCTTTGTAAGCTCCCAGTCAATGTCCCCTGTTTTTTTCGACGCCGATAGAAAGACACCATGAGTGCATCAAACAACATGTTTTTGTTTTCGTTTTTTTCTTTTGGGGGGGGAAGCCATTTCAATCCCAAGGGACTTCGAGGACACCGTTTTGGACACTCTCGCCCGTTGTTTTTCCAGCCACTTCCCGGGTATTTTTTTCCCCCCCGCCTCGATTCGAGGTCCGGGAGTTCTGCGCCGGCTCGCCCGCCGGGAGGTCCGACGCGCCCGGGGCGCCCGGCGGGGCGCGGGGCGCGCGGGGCGCGCGGGGCGCGGGGCGCGGGGTCGGAAGCTTGAGGGGTGAGGTAGGGGAAGAGACGGCGGTGGGTAGGGGGGGGCAAGGGGGAGAGGGAGAGGAGGGTTGTCAATTCATATGGGACGTGTCCTTTTTTAGGATTCGATAAAATGGGTGGGTGTTCCTTTTGTCTTGGTTTTCCAAAAAAAAAACAGCGCAAAGGAGCGTGCCTTCAAAAAGACACACAATTACTTGGGTATGTGTTTTCTGAGGGTACCTGTTTTCGCCTTGGCTTGCCTTGTGGATCAGGACACCCAGCAAACAACCCTTGGAGATTTCCGCCCAAACTTGGCAGTTTGCTATAATTGGGTGTTTTTGGTTGGGAGTTCGTACCCTCGGGTTGAAAGGGAAACCAAAGGAGACCCGTCAACAGACCCGGGAAATTCTTTTTGAGGCTACCCTTGCTGGGTCGCTTTGTAAAGCAAAAAACAATCAACGACCGACCAATCCCATGGATCTTGTGACGGACTTCTTGGATGTCCATGGAAAAAAACACCAGGAAACCCAGCAGAAAATGGAAAAAATAAAACCACTTGTTGTTGGCCTTTCAGCTGCACTTGTTGGGTTTTTGAAACCTTTCAGCTGGAAACCCGACTTTTGGGGGGGGTCCTTCTTTGCGGCTAAGCTGATTTTCTGGTTTCGGGCGACAACCGGTCCCTGGCGTAGAGTTTGTCCGGCATGAGCGCATACTGGTTTTGATTGTACCCTGTTGTCTACCCAGAAGCTCCAATATTGATTTAGTTGGCCTTCAACCTGGTTTTGAGACCAGGTCCCAACCAATTCCCGGGGTGTCTAATGCTTCGGGGCCGGGTCTTCCATTGAAAGCCTCAGGACCTCTGGGTAGGATTGAAATACGTATGTTCAAAATCAACGAGGGATACCATCATACTGTGGATGGACGAAATCCATTTTGCACCACTTTGAAACCATGGGAAACCCATTGTAGGTACCCCTTTCGATTGTACCCCCCTGTACGTTCTGTGCCCATCATTCAAGGGCAACGATGTAAGATGGTCCCACTTGTTGACCCAGTTGTCGGAGAGCCCCTGGAACAAAACGGACCTTTGCTGCTTGATGCAAAACATGCAAAGGCTCTCCCCCGTTGTATGGCGGACAACGTTGCAACCTCCTTCTTTCAGGGCGTTGGCTTCTTAGGGTTCCTGGCTGCAAAATGGGCCGAAGTGTCCATGCCCCCGCTGCCTTGGCCAAAACAACGCTATTCCAGACTTCCAGACTCCGATCTGTTGAGCAGGTCTTAGACTCATACAACAAGAAATAAGAATCTAATAACAATAAACATCTCTAAAGGGATACCGAAACTTTGGGTCCCATCTGGTCCCTGTATCTGTTGCGTCCAATTCTTTTTGCGCGGCGGCCTCTGTTCCAAGAAACACCACGAAATTGGTCAAACCACAAACGACTTTGCGGGCGGGAAACAGCTTAGAGGGTCAAACTGTGGATACCAACAGGCAATGCTTTGCATTGTTCCCGTCCACAGAATTAAGATCCGCCAGGGCCAATAATCCTCGCATTTGTGCACTGACAGCCTCTTTTTCTGGAAGACAATACTTGTCTCGAGGAATCTCCTAAGGCCCTTTTTGGGGCCGGCTCCCTCTTTTGGCAAAAGGGACACCTTCCCTGATTCGCATGGTGCTCATAAGTATACACTTAGTGTGGCGCTATATTCAGCATGGTGCTTATAACTTCTTAGCCGATGTCTTTGCAAAGGAGTCGTTTGAATCATGGTGGATCTGTCGGGCTGTCATTGCCCAACAAGCGCTATGTCAGGCTTCTGGAACATACACCGCGAAGGGGAAAAAAGGGACAACCCTTCTTTCTCGTGGGGTCGACTTTCACAATTGCTTTAAGTAGAGGACAAAACAGAATTAACCATTCCCCCAAACCTGTCTCGTCGTTTTGTCCTTCAGCAATATTGAACATGCCCTCAGATGAGTGGCCATTGGGACAACAGGGCATCCTTTTTTTGGTTGCTTGATTTTAAAGGAATCGGAACCCCTCCCCGAAAAAAAGGTCGAAAGTCGAGCGAAATCCACTGGGCAACGGCGACACCTCACCAGCTTGGTTGAATGACTCCTAATGATTCCACTTGCTGCAACAGGTAAATGGCACCCTGCAACACCCCTGTAAACACCTCTAAAGCGGATGGTGGAAATACATCCCCCCAAATAAATAAATAACTATATATATTTTTTATATATATATATATATATATATCATGTTCACCAAAGGGTCTCTAAAGAAAAATATGACGCTCATATTGCTTGCATGAACATGTCATTTCTTCAAGACAAACAAACACAAACCGGTTTTCAGATACTTTCACTGAACGCTGGTTTGACCCATGTGCGGCTGTCTGGTTGTACTAATATGGTCATGAAGGGATGTATATATATATATATATATGTATACATATAGGCCTTACCATCCTTTCAATACGAGGGAGTCAACCCCACAGTTAATGTGTGCGATCCCGACAGCGGTTTTGTGCAGCTCTGAGGCTGGACTACTGCACGCTCTCCGCATGCCACTGCCTCAATGGAGAAACGCCGGCGCTGGGCGAAAGGCGCGCTTGAAGCGGTATGGGGTGTGTCCACAATCAAAACCGATTCGGGCAGATGAAGGTTAGGGGACCTTCCCAGCCGGAAATAGTTGCGGCCGCCTTCTGAATGTACATGGTTCCGGTCCCAGTGGATTCCAGCCTCTAATCTTGCCCTTTGGTTTGCTGGCTTCCCCAGTAAAAGTGGTCGATTCCAAAAAGAGTTGCCTGGCATCTCAGATTCTAACACGCCCGCATCAAACATGCGGATCGGATTTCCATGACCCCTTTCTTTTGGATGTCCACCATTTTTTTCCGGGTCAGAAGGAGCGGAGGTGCCATCACAGCCTTTCAGACAGTTTTCAGACCCATGTGTCTTGCTATAGCGGGAAGTAGACGCCAAGCATCATGTATTCATTGCGTTGACACATTCCCACTTGTATGTGCACGCTTGCCACTGGCTGAAGCATGTCAAGCCCAGAAGCCTCGGAAGCTTCGGAAGCTTCGGAGGCCCAGTGCTCTCAAATGACCCATGTCCGCCACGCGCCAGCGAAGGTTTCCATCGGCAGTCTCGGTCACCCGGAGCTCTGCCACAAGCCTTGCCTCTTCATGAACCGCGGCTCCTGTCCCGCAGGATCTAACTGCAACTTTTGCCACTGCGGCCATAGCGACAGGCAATTGAGCAGGAAGCAGCGGGAGGAAATGAGCCGCTTGGGGGAAGCAGATGTCCTAGCTTTGGTACTGCCTCACTTGCTCGCCAAGAAGCTTCCAGCACAGGAGGTGATTGCGCTGCTCGAGCAGCATTTGATTTCTCTCCCCAGCGAAGTAAGGCCTCCGCTGCGCAACGTTCAAGGCTTGAACCGTTGCTTGGCATATTTGAAGTTTAGGCAGCTTGTGGATATGTGTGAGTGCAAGGAACGGAGCGAGATCCGTGAATCCATGTTAAGCCTGCAGGCAACGATTGCCGCGCAGGACCCAGCAATGTTTGAGCAGAGCTTCTCCGTGTGATGATATCCGCTTGCTTATTCGTAATGAGAGGTTCGAGCTGTAGGGATCCATGTTTGCTCACATTTGTCCATCACAGGTGCAGTTCGGGTCAAAATTGGAGCATCATCATGAAGCGGCCACGGCGGAACTAGGGCCCTTCCGTGGATCACCACACTGCCAGCATCCGCCCGCTCAAAACCCTTCTAAGAACCTTTCTGGTAAGGTTCTAGGAACCTTTGCAGTCATGGTGCTCAGATTGGGCCTCATTTGAGCATTTTAGCTTCCATTTGCTGATTTTGATGGCCGTTTCAAGTTTTACCTCCAAGAGAAGCTGCTCGTAAACATTGGTTTCTGACTTGGAGATGAATTGTCAGGTGAGCGTCCTTCATGTTGACAGTATGACTGAAAGGCGCTTTTCGGCAAATGGAAGATAGCACCGAGCACTTTTGTCTGGCCCGTACCTGGACCTGCAGGCTGAGGCTGACGCCATGCTGATCTGCCTCAGTGTGAGTTTAGAAGTTCGCTCAGCAAGAAGTGCGTGCGGTGCATGAGTTGATTGCCTGAATATTGCAAGCGGTTAATTACAAGCACACTCGGAAATCTATCATGGTATCTGGCTACAATTACTCGGAAGATTTGGGGGAGCAACAAAGCCTGCGATGCGCAACGTTCAAGGCTTGAACCGTTGCTTGGCATATTTGAAGTTTAGGCAGCTTGTAGATATGTGTGAGTGCAAGGAGCGGAGCGAGATCTGTGAATCCATGTTAAGCCTGCAGGCAGCAGAGCTTTTCCGTGTGATGATATCCACTTGTTTATTCGTAATGAGAGGTTCGAGCTGTAGGGATCCATGTTTGCTCACATTTGTCCATCACTGGTGCAGTTCGGGTCAAAATTGGAGCATCATCATGAAGCGGCCACGGCGGAACTAGGGCCCTTCCGTGGATCACCACACTGCCAGCATCTGCCCGCTCAAAACCCTTCTAAGAACCTTTCTGGTAAGGTTCTAGGAACCTTTACAGTCATGGTGCTCAGATTGGGCCTCATTTGAGCATTGTAGCTTCCATTTGCTGATTTTGATGGTCGTTTCAAGTTTTACCTCCAAGAGAAGCTGCTCGTAAACATTGGTTTCTGACTTGGAGATGAATTGTCAGGTGAGCGTCCTTCATGTTGGACAGTATGACTGAAAGGCGCTTTTCGGCAAATGGAAGATAGCACCGAGCACTTTTGTCTGGCCCGTACCTAGACCTGCAGGCTGAGGCTGACGCCATGTTGATCTGCCTCAGTGTGAGTTTAGAAGTTCGCTCGGCAAGAAGTGCGTGCGGTGCATGCGTTGATTGCATGAATATCGGCTTGCAGGCAGCAGAGCTTTTCCTGTGATGATGTCCACTTGCTTATTCGTAATGAGAGGTTCGAGCTGTAGGGATCCATGTTTGCTCACATTTGTCCATCACAGGTGCAGTTCGGGTCAAAATTGGAGCATCATCATGAAGCGGCCACGGCTCGCCTGCTGGTGAGGCCTCAGGATCTTGCTGAACCGGGGCCTATCAATGCCCGCCCTGCCCACTCGAATGGTTCTCAAAACCCTTCTATGCAGGTTCTAGGAACCCTTCTTGGGTGGGAGGCTTTTGTTGATACAGTCATGGTGCTCAGATTGGGCCTCATTTGAGCATTTTAGCTTCCATTTGCTGATTTTGATGGTCGTTTCAAGTTTTACTCACATGGAAGATGGTGTCCTCCAAAAGAAGCTGCTTGTAAACATTGGTTTCTGACTTAGAAATACATTGTCAAATAAGAGTCCTTCATGTTGGACAGTATGACTGAAAGGCGCTTTTCTGCAAATGGAAGATAGCACCAAGCACTTTTTTCTGGCCCGTACCTGGACCTGCAGGCTGAGGCTGACGCCATGTTGATCTGCCTCAGTGTGAGTCTAGAAGTCGTTTATTGATTGCCTGAATATCACAAGCGGTTGGCTACAAGCACACTCGGAAATCTATCATGGTATCTGGCTGTATACAATTGCTCGGAAGATTTAGGGGAGCAACCGTACGAATTTAATGTTTCAATTGTCAAGCAGCTCGCTTCGTCATGCACAGGATTGTACAGGCAGGTCAAATCTGATCCTCCGCCTTTTTTAGCTGATTCGTACGTCATATACATATATATAATATATACATATATATATATATATACGTATATATATATATATATATATGCAATTGCATACACATGTTTCTAAAGTGTACAAGAACTGCCAAACGAGACCGTCATGCTTCGTGATGCGATCAGGTATGTGACTGCATTGCCCCTTGCTTCTTGGAGGCTAGGCAGTGACTTGCTCGAAAGATCTTTCAGACCAATGATTCGATAATTGTGTGTGGGAGCAATTTGTTCGGCGAGCAAACTTGCCCCGAGCACTGGAGAGCTCGTTTTGTTTCTGATAGTTCAGCCGTTCTGCAATGTTCTGCACGTTTCACCAAGCAGAGGCAAAAGTGCGCGACATACACCTCGAGAGCAGATTCCGTCCATCATATTTGATCAGATGCGGAAACGCCTAGAATAAGTGAATGACCAGCCGGATATCGTTGCAGGCGAGGCCAAAACGGACCACTCCAGAAGCCTAGACACGGCTTCGAGCCGAACAGTGTCAAGCCCCGAACCTTCAAACCACCAATAGGAAAGCTGACATGAGACAGGTGGGGTTGCTCAACAAGATTACATGGCAGGAGATGACAATTTCCATTGGCTCACGATCCGTCCTTGGGTGTTCAATTCGCCAAGTTAGTAAGCTGTGACCTGGGTTATGACCCACTTAATTATGAGATCCTCTAAGTTGGGCGAACCCTGTTATGAGGGGCCCGATTGGCTATCCACAGACACTAACTTGTCTGATTCCCTTTCAAGATCTTAGGCTCGTGTTCATTCCGGTTCCTTGATGCCTGCGCGGTGTGATGGCTCTATTCTCCTACTGTTCGGGAGAGGAAGAAGAGATATGGCTGTGGGTCAACACCAATGGTACCATTTTGGGGTAGATGCACCACGCATCTTAGTCTATTTTAGTGGGGATTGGGATGTTCACTGGGGGTACGGGCTTTTGACCCATGGCCATATAATATAAGTAGGCAGCGGTTCCCCCGAGTCGCAGCGAGTCGATTTCGGTTTTTCGAGGCACGCAGTGGGCGGACGACATTAAGTACGACTCGGGCTTCTGTACCGGAGTGAAGTTCTTTGAGATCAACGGCACCAAGGTGTGCTGGGACTCGGGACACAGAGTGCGTGTGTTTTAAGGAGGGGACCCGCTTTTTGTGTGAATAGTTTCTGGGCCACTCATGCAGTTGTGTAGTTATACACACTCAATGCCATTTGGCTCAAGAAAACACATGTTTTGTCTCACAATTGTCATTGTGATTCAATACTGTCCAGAAAGAAGTCGAGCTTGCGGAGAGTTTGCGGCCTCGAGGATATTCCAGGTATTGCGGGTTTTCCGAAGGACGTTGTCGGGGATACCAAAGGACCCCCTCGGTTTCTCAGGGTATCAGCCGTAGGGTTTTGTCCCACGTGCTAGACAAAAGATTGATTCGAAGCGAGAGGTCTTGCACCCAGCTTCATACTGAATCAATTAATACATTTTGCTAAGTGGCGCTTACGTGACAATCTCCGATGGGAGATCTTCGGGTACATTTGCGGCACCTGCTGCCGGAATTTCATCTCAAGGAACGCCGGAATCAGCCGGTCATGGGAGCAAAGACACTATCGTGGTAAGTGCTGGGCCTGCGGCAGCAAGCCAGCAGAGTGATGCCGGCGTCCTTCCTCCCAGTCAAGAGTACCGTCAGAAGCATGACGGGCGGACACGAATCCGTAAATCTCGTAAGGGAGAGAAGTCATCCTCCCCAAGAAGCTCCCCAAGTGACCCCAGAAGCGCAGATCAACAACTCGATGATGAGTTACGGAGAGCCCAACGGAAGGCGGAAGTACAGATGAGCGAAGCTGCTGAACAGCATGA